AAAGAAAAAGTATCTTAAAGAGAGTTTTAAATAAAATCTTCACTGACTAATTATTGGGAACAATGAATGCCACTAACAACAACAACAACAAAAACCCCTGAAAAGCTCATGTACAGATAAATCACTGTCTACTACTATGCCTTTCAAAACAACAACAAACACCACCACCACACCCAATTAATCAATCCTGTTTCTCTACAATCACATTTTTGTATCTCCTTCACACCTAAAATGTGATCTACAACTCAGTATTTATCTGAATTGGGGACAGGGGCCATGGTAGAGAACTTAACTCCTATCAACAGATACATCTAAATTTAGCACCTTTTCCTGGTAATTCCATTTTAACAGACCTTTCTGAGGTCAAATGGAAATGTCAGTATACTTACAAAGGACCGAGAAAAAAAGAAGAGAAATCAAATGACAGCTGAGATTCAAAGCTTCACAATGTTGGCCATCATGTATCTATTTGAGAATTTGTAGGAACTTTTCAAAATTAGATTCTGTTTTGTACCATGTTGCCACCAATTCCTTTCCTAACAAGACTGAGCAGCAGACACAACTACATACTTTAGAATCGGGAACCTATGGGCAAGTCCCAAATCTAAGGCTATGGTCAGGTTCACTGCTCACTGCATTGCTTTAGCAATCTCAAAACTCAAATTCTGCCATAGATAGTTCACTGTGAAGAAAAGGCTCATTGTTAGATCTTTAATTGTTAACCCTTTGACCTCCTCAAGCTAACATTTCACAAGTGTATGAATATAGCACACACTTGCTTCTATAAAGTATGAAGAGTACTTTTCACTTTAACGTAAGAGTGTATTTTTAAAAATACATCAATGAACACACAATCAATGAAGTGTTAGATATCAAACTCCCTCTAATTTATATAATTTTTACTCAGGATACCTGTTAATGAGCAACATTTTGAATTTTTAAATAAACTACGGGCCAATGGGATCCTGAATGCCATTATTTCAGAGAAAACTTGAAATGCTTATGTACAGATAAATCACTTAGGCTGTCTTTCAACCATGTCCACTTTCAAAAGGACCACTTAAAAAACTTAGTCACACAAAAAAGCACAGGAGTCACTGGAAAACACATACAAATCACTGAAGATTTAAGTCTATCAATCCATTTCATACCCTTCTTAAGAAATAGAAAAGCGTTCTTCTTACCTTGAATAGCCATTAGAAAAAACCGATCGACCCGAGAAGTTCAAAGTCCCCAAGGAAGCCAAGTTGTCATCTCCAGATCCTTGGCACCTATTCCAATTTTCTGAACCAACAGGAATTGGTGGAATGACATTAAAAATAGGCTTCTGATCCTGTTGTTGAGAAAGCGATGCTGTATTCATGTCATAGTGGTACATCTGTCCCCCAGAGGTACTCACACCATGAACAGAAATGGCAGACATTTTATTACCAATTATATTTGCCCCAGAAAAGCTTGCCTGACAGTAAACTGGGCCCAGTTTCTCCTGCTTAATTACCCCAGGGGTGCAGAGTTCAATGAAATCTTCTTTTTCCGTTTTCACTTGGGGCAGTGGCACACTGTTGGGGCTTGACAGGATCAGATCTCCATTATCCTTAATTTTAGGTTTAGTGTCCGGTAAAACAAGAGGCTTACAGTCCTCATTTGAGTTTCCTTCCAAGAGGAATGGATCATCCTCTCCTGCCAAAGGAGAAAGCAAACAGTTTTCATCTATCAAGAGGTCAGATCTCCAAGGACTCTCACTCGCCTCTTTTTCCGGGGACCCAGAAGAAAACTCCAAATCCTGGAATTTTTTCCTCCAAATGTCAAAGGTGCTTTGGTCTGTGGTATACAACTTCACATTGCCCCCGTTGGTGCCAGTCTGGCCCTTCAAATTTTGCTGTTCTGAAGACACGTCCGATAGAGTTTTTGAAAACTCCCTCTCTGTGGGGGCAGCAGAAACAGCAGCAGACGCTGAGCTCTTGGGCTTCTCTGCAACACTGGTCGACCTACTGAGGTTTGCGATGCTTTCTTCCAGAAGCCGAAAGTCTGTCTCCCCAGAGGAAAGGCTGATTTGGCCCTGCTGTGGGAATCCCAAGTCATTTCCCATCACTTTAGTTTCTGTCTCTCCCATATACAATCCCATGGAGAGTGAAACCGCCTTGGACAGATCTGGCTGCTGTGCATTGCTTCCTGAGCCTTTTGAAAAGTCAACCCCAAGTCTTGGATGCTTGGAGTCGGACTGAGAAGCAGCCGTGAGTGAGGGTGAAGAAGCAGAAACCTTCACAGTAGCTCCTCCCCTTAGGGTTTTATAGAAGTCCATCACATTTCCCCTCGCCCGACCAAGCACACTGCTAGAGACTTCTTCTTTACTCGGGGGGCTTAGTGATTCCTTGGAGTCCATCAGATACTATCATCAGCTACCAGGCAGGTGAAAAAGAAAAAAAAAAAAGGAAAGAAAAAAGAAGGGGGGGAACATAATAAGCTATAAAGTCACATTATCTCAGTGATCTGATTAGTAAGAGCCTGTTAAATGAGCCTTTTAGTTAACTCTGAATCTAATTCCTTGTTATCAGAAAAGTAGTTTCTGTCTCCCAGAATAAAAAAAGCCATATCCCCTGCTCCCATTCAGCGTGCCACATTTAAAAGAACAATGCAGTTCAAGTGCACAGCTGAGGGCAAAACTGTATCAAACTAAGCTTGGCTATTCATCCTGCCACTCACAGAACTGTAACTTTGTTAATCACAGACATTATAATTCATTACACCTAACTATTCCTAAGGTTCAAATTGATGTCAAAGTATTTAAAAAGAGTATGATTATTAAAATTCCTACTTCCTTTCCATCAGTCAAGGCTGTTTTGCTCTTCTGAGAACCCATACACATAAAATTTGGTAAATACTATCATAGAATTCGCTCTCAAACTGCTCACAAACTGCCCTCCCACCTGCTAGTCACACAACCAAACCTTAGATTTATTGGTAGCCATGCAAATTTTACTTGAAAAATAAACAATGATGATCTTCCAGTATACTAAGAAAGGCTCTTATTTTTTAACCCCTATTTCTTACTGAATGTGTCTGTTTCAAATTTTGCCTTCAAATTTTGGACACACCAAATGAAATACGTTGCATATAGGCCAACTAAAATTTGGATTTTAACAAGTAGAATGTGCAGTAGCTTCTCACTACAATTTCAGCTTATTTAAATACAACAAACACAGCTCTCTCCAATCTTACATGATAAAATCTAAATGAAGCTATATTTATTTTCAAATTGCTTAAGACCCTCAGTATGAGACACTATTATACCTCTAATTAAGATTTTTTTCCTTTCCAAATAACCAGGTACTAAAAACAGGAAAACCCCACAACTGTAAAACCACGTTCATACAAACTCAGGTAAAACAACAGCCAATAAAATGCTCAGAATAATTTTCTCTGTATTCTAAACCCTCACCAATCCCCATTCAGAGGCTGTTCTCAAGAGTCTTAGGTTGGTAGTATATTGTTTATAATCAGGATGTTGTAAGAGGCAGGAGAACACTTTGATAAGCACATTTGGGACATCATAGTCAAATCCCATCCAATGAAAGGAAACTTTTGCTGTACGGAGACCTTCCAAAGCAGAAACTTCACCGGCCCTCATGGGAAGTGGAGTGGGATTAAGGTAGAGAGAGGGCTGGGACCTGCTTCTACACATCTTGAGGGTAAACTGCTCATCTCCCCGCCCCTCCGCCGTGTTTATCTGATATCGATCTCTAAACACAAGGTATCAAATGGAGCCTAATGAATTTCCACGCCGCTTTGACAGCTGCCCTCAAACTCGAAATCAAAACAGTATTTCATAAAACGAAATGATCCCTCCAACGACTTTAGCCCCCAGTTTAAATTGCAAGTAACTGTCACATTAATGGGCCTTAATGAACCGTACCAAGGGGTCTTAAGTGGTATTACAAGGCGGCAGTTACCCAGCCTGCGGCCCCAAACGTCAAACTAGCGCTGGACAAAAAACGCACCACAGAACTATTCCGGCTAGGGAACGTCTTTTTCCACAAGGGGCCACTTAGGAGCGTCAGGCACGCAAAGATGCCAAGCGCTGAAGAACAAACCCTCTCCCCGGGGAGAAAAAAGTGCAAGGGTAAAAAGAGAAATGTGTCCAGACCTGTTGAGTTCTTTCTCCGACACGCCCACTTCTACCAGATAACGCCAGCCCTGACCGAAGTCTCCAAGTTGCAGGCTGTCAGCCCCCTGCGTGTGTACACTCACTCACACACACGCGCGCGCGTGCTCACACACACACACACACACACACCCTGCGTGCCCGCCAGAAAAGAGACGCGCTGGAGCCTCGACAGAAACCCTGATCGCGCTCGGGCGCACTAGGGTGGAGTGGAAACATTCGGCCGAGTAGAATTCAAACGCAGCTCGGTGTTCACCATAAAACGGGTGTTTGGGAGGCCCCCCGGGAGGGCACTGACAGGGGACTTTGCGGGGGGAGGCTGCAGAAACCAGAATTCCGCGCCAGGAAGCAGAGGACCGAAAGCCGGGGCAGCTCGAAGAGGCTCCACTCGCAGAGAGCTCAGGTTCCTCCCCCTCAGCCCGACCCGGGGACGGCGACCGAGGGAGAGGAAGAGGCCAGCGCTGTCACCCGCGCGCTGCCCTTTCGTCACCATCACCCGGCCCTCGCCAGCCCCCACCCCCATTCCCCGAGGCTAATAAAAGTTTGCAGGCTCCCGCGGCAGCCCCCGAGCCGGCCTCAGGTCCCCGGCCCGCACCTCCCCGGCCCGCACCTCGGGGGAGCGAGCGCCCGCGCGGGCCCCGGGCCCCCGGGCCCCCGGCCCTCCCCACCTCTTACCTCTGGCAGGGGCGCCGATCACCCGCCACCGTCCGCAGCTCCCACCGCAGCCGAGATAAACAACTTAACATGTGAAAGCAGGAGGAGCAGTAGAGATTTTTTTTTCTAAAAAAAAAGGAAGTAAACAGCCGCCCCCTTCTCCATGGGGGGGAGGGGAGAGCCCCTATTTGAGAAAGTCTCCCATTTCCCGGCTGACAAGCCAGCCCCCAGCCCCGCGCCGATCCCAGCGAGCCGGGGCTCTCAGGCGCGCGTCCTCCGTCCCGGCGCCCCGCCGCTTCGGCAGCTCCGGGTGCGGCGTCTCCTTCCACCCACTAGAATCCGTCCCCGACGGGCGGGCGGTGACTGGGGCTCCAGTCACAGACTCGAGCTCGCAAAATGGAGGAGGAGGAGGAAGAGGAGGAGGAGGAGGAGGGGAGGGAGCGCGGACACGCGAAAGGGCCGCCCGACCGCGGCGAGCGAGCGGGACCGATCGGGGGGCGGGCGGAGGCGGCGCCACGGCGCGCACACACTCGCACACACACGCGCTCCCACTCCACCCCCGGCCGCTCCCCGCCCGAGGGGCCGCGCGGCGGCGGGGAACGGTGCAACCTGTTGGCGACGCTCGGCAACTGCAGAGGAGGCTGCAGCCCCCGCCCCCACGCCCTCCGGGGCCCAGCCACCGGGGCCCCGACGGCGCCTACACGCCCCCGGCCCCCGGCATGGCCCGGGACGTAGCGGCCGGCCGCCGCCCCCCGAGCGCGCAGGACTTCTCCTAGTCCCCCCTCACCCCCCCACCCCCCGGCAAGAAGGAGAGGCGGCGAGAACTGACCTGGTCTCTCTGGGGCGGGCTTGGGAGGGAAGCCGAGTTTCTCTAGTTTGCCTTCTCGCTGCCTCCTTCCCGCCCCCGCCCAGCTCCGCGACTCCCGACCCACTCCAGAGCTGGCCGGGTACCTCGGCGGCAACCGCCGTCAGCGCCCCTGCGGGTGACAGCGGGCTGTCTGGGGGTGGGGGGGGGCCGGGGCGCGGCCCGCAGCAGCGCCGCGGGGGTGGTCCGCGCCGCCGCCCTGGAGCCGAGTTGCACGAAGGGTGTCACTTAGCGCGGGCTACTAGGGTTGCACGGAAACGGTGCCGCAGCGTGTCGGCCGCTCTCGGGGCCGGACCGCCAGACACGCCCTCTGGGGAGGCATACGGAGGGGAGGGCAGAAGAGGGGGTCGACGCTTACGTACTCTTGGCCCGAGGGGAGTCGCGTGCCGGCAGGTCTCCCACCGCCGCAACGTCTGGGCGGCCCAGTCTGCAGCCGCCGCCGCGCTCTCCCATCGGGAGAGAAGTTGCAAAGCAGAACCCACCCTCCCCCGCGCTCCGACCGTCCCCCACCCTTTTCCCCGAGTCTGCGAGGCGGCGGCGGCGGCAGAAGGAGGCGCCGCCTGCCAAGTTCAACCCCCACCGTCCCTCCCTGCTAGCGCGCTCACACTTGAAGGAAGTTGCACGCCAAATGCAAAACCTCCGGCGAGCTGAATTTCTTTGCACTTTTTTATTATTATTTTTAAGGAAAACAGGGGGTGGCAGGCCTAAAAGCAAGTTGCAGGCGAAACAGTAAGTTGCTTGCAAAGTACGCCCTCCCTCCCCCGCAAACTCCTGACCTCTCTCCTTCCACCCCCTCCAGGGCCCGCGTCCAAGTTTCCCGTGGAAGACCCTCACCCGAATCTTGACATTTGCTGCACTCCACTCAATGCGTCGCCCACCCTTTCGTGTACACGGGACCCCTGTCCCTCCAAACAAAACAAAACACACGCAAAACACGCAGTTTTAAAATGTCAGCATTTAACTCCCTCCAGCTGTTCCCGTTACGCGCCTCCCCCTCAGTCCGAGGGAAACACGTGGCCTTTCCCCAAGGAGAGGGGCGTGGGGCTAGGGGAGTCCGCGCGGGAGACGCCCGCCCCTGCCCCCTAACCCAGCTTGCCGCGTCCGTTGGGCTTGGGCTTTGCCGGGACCGAGCCTCCTACCTTGTGCGACACTTAGTATGATTTTTGTGACTCGGGGAAAGGTTGTGTTGTGTGGCTTTAGGGTTTGGGGCGGTAACTTTTGCGCCCCCACCGGTGACAGCGCTTGCCAGCTCATGACGGGGGCGGAGGCTGCCGCAGCTCCGCCTAGTCCCTGCCCGGGCGCTAGGCCGCAGCCACTCACTCCTCAGGCAGCGCTCAGACGCTAGTAGCGGCCGCCTCTGCTCTGACATCTTGAAGAGGATTGGGGGAAGCGCATGCCGGAAGCTGCTCGCCGCCATCTTGGTAAAGGACGGTGACGCCAGCCCGGCCTCGCGTCCACCATCTTGGCAAAGGTTCTCCATCTCAGGGAGCCGAAGTAGCCCTTCCTCGGTTCTGAAGGGTAGACGCTGCCCCCATGTGCTATCCGATGTGAAAAGAGAAAACTAAGCATTTTAGTTACGCACTTGTTCGGAGACGATCTATTCGGGCCGCCCCCAGACAATTCTAGGGCCGCCATCTTGGCAAAGGAAGAGCTGCTCTCCGCCTCGGAAAAGAAAAGGGAACCAAAACGTTTGCCAACGTAGAACCCTCAGCCCATAGAATTTTTATGAAGGGTGGCTGAGCAACCCAATTGTTAACACAACCTCTTTCTGGATCCAGAAGAGATGGTTCCCCTTTCCTTTCCCTTGGCGCTAGTCAACTAGAGGGAGGCCCTTGCCGTGGGTGCTCATAACGGACGCTGAGGATTTACTTCAAGAACACTGTTTTGCCTACTTGCCAATTTTTCCACCTTAGAAGCCTCAGTTACCAAAATCAGATGTCTTGCGTGGATGGGTCCCCAAACTACCAATAGGTTGATGAGGGGAAAAAATCAAGACCCAAATTTAATGTAATATGTATGTTTTAAAAGTGTGTTAAATAACTTATGCCAATATGATTATCCTTCTATGTTTGCTTAAAAGTTATACTAGGAATTTATTATATGTATGGGTACCTTATAAAAATATATAATTTGTATATGTTTAACATATGTAAAGGGACAGGAACAGTTATCTAATAGTTGTGAAGGGACAGTAACAGTTATCTAATAGAATGCTTCTCCCTATACCATAAACCTATTTCATAATTGAATCTCTGCTGTAAGAATCCACCTCATCTCTTACCTTTTAAATTGGGTTACATATTCCGTTTTTTAAATAACAACTGATTTTACAAGAGTTCTCCATTAACTTTCTTGCCACTCATTTTGTCTGCAAGTCCAGCAGATTGCCTTGAAATGGAAAAAGACTCACATTGTTTTCAATTAAAAATTGCTATTGAAAACACTTTCAATTGGGCAGAAGTGTAACATTTTCAGTTGTTTACATATGCCTGTTAATTTTTTAATTTGATAGAAAAAAAAATCTCATTCTTCAGTCTGTCACATTCATCTGAACGCCGGCAAAGACTGTAGATTAACCCAGTGTCTGTTTTTCAGAGTTAGAATTGTTATGCTTTATGGCTAACCTTTATTGACCATTCTGTTCATCTGTTTTATCATTCCCATTCCCATTGAAATAATCCAAGCCTCACTGCAGATTATTCTTCCAAAACATTAATTAAATCGTGTTGTGCTCCTGCTCAAGTATCTATAATAATTCCCTTCCAGTGTAGAGAGATCCCAACTCCCATTCTGTTAAGACCAGCATCTTTCACCCGCTCCTTTCTTTCTTTCTTTTTTTTTTTTAAGATTTTATTTGTTTATTTGTCAGAGAGAGAGAGCACAAGCAGGGAAAGTGTCAGGAAGAGGGAGAAGCAGACTCCCTGCTGAGGAAGGAGCCCGATGCAGGACTCCATCCCAGGACCCTGGGATCATGACCTGAGCGGAAGGCAGATGCTTAACTGACTGAGGCACCCAGGCGTCCCACACCTGCCCGTTTCTTGAAGGCAAAGTCTTTTAGCTGTTGGAATTGGACTAGTATTTAATTAAACTGAAAAGTCAGTTAAAGCGAAGGAATTATTAAAAAAAAATCACTTGGAAATATGAGGTTTTAAACCTAAAACCTAACATGTATGTGCTACCTCTTTGGTGAAAGCTTTTGTGAGCCCACTAACTGGAGTTCATGTCTTCATTTGTGTATAAACTATACCCACATTGCATCAGTACATCACAGCAGTTAAGAACAAGACTGGCTGGCTGACTTGCACCACTATGAAGAATATAACCTTGGGTGACCTAATTTTTTGTGCCCCAGTTTCCATCGTCTGTAAAATGGGGATGATAATAGTATTAACCCAAGTTACTAGAAAGATTAAGTGAGTTTCATATATGTGAAGTGCTTAGACTAATTCCTGGGACTTATTAAGTGTTTAATCAGCAGCATCAATTATTATTAATATGTAGTATTATTATTTCCCTCGTTTTTTAATTGGAACAAAAAATTAAAAGTACTTACAAATATAAACGAGTGTCAGTTTCTGAATTTGTATGATTTATGCCTCCTGACTTCACCCCAATCTGTTAAAATTGTCTTGCATCCACCTAATTTGACAGTGATTGTTTATATGGCATCTTTCCATTTAGATTTTATAGAATAACTATTACTTTTTTAATCCTATTTCATCATTTAATTATTTAAGTAATTACAATAACAGGCACAAATGGAATTAAGATTTTTTGGGGGAAAAAAACCCTAAGGAACTGTTGGTAAACCTATAGCTTAACTTGGTGGGAGCAGAAATGTGTGGAACATAAGAATTAACCTTGGCTGCAGTGTTCAGCATTCCCTAAGCATCAGTCGATTGTTTTCCAGGGAGGATGGAGAACTTGAATTAGTTGAGATAAAGGCATTGAGTAGTGTCATTTAAGAGGAGTCCATCCTGCTGAAGAAAGGGCATATACAACATCCATTCCCACCTCTACCATTGTTTATCACATATATTTCCTTTTACATAAAGATACCTATTTGTGACTTAGTTTCCTACAGCCCATAATTCTTAGTCATGGCTCTATTTTCCATCTGTTCTATTCCCTCACCCCCACCCCCAACACACACAATTTACATCTGTGATAGTAAATGTAAATTGGAATCAAATAAATACCTACCACGTTTTTATGTATTAAAAATTTTGAATATGATGGTTCATTGCATATGCTAATTTTATATTAAGCCAACCCAAACAACTTATTTTAAAAAATTATTTTTGCAGCTATCATAGCTATTAGATGACTCTTTACAATAAATAACTCAACTTTGGGAAACAGTACTATTCTTGTTTAACTTTGTAAGGTAAGAGGTTCAAGAGAACCCAGCTAAGCTTTAAATGTCCCATCTCTTTCTGCTTCAGTATTTGCATTTTACACCAGACATGCCTGTTATAAACAACTCACACTTAGTACAGCAAGTTCTTAATCATAATGAATTCCACTTTGGTACCTCTCTTTGTAATTGGAATTAACATTCTCACATGAACTGGGAAATGCTAAATTGTTACCAGCATCCCTGGTGTCTTGCTGCTTCTCATAATGCTTTCAATGATTTCATCATATGCAACCTAAAATATCACAATTTGTGCTCATAGGCATGACATGCTCTATGGGTGTTCTGTTAAATCTATATTCCTTATGCTGGCAGAACTTGGTTTAAGCAGTGCCTGATTCAAGGATAAGGTAAATATGAGCAAATAAATGAGGGAGATGTTGAAATAAGCCAGGAACCTCATGTTTTTAGAGTTTAGAGACATTAGAGCAAGTACACTGAATAATTGTAACAAATATTATGTACTTTGTTTTGCATTTGTGGCATTTGTGGCTGGCCATTATGTCATTAGCTTTCTTCCTCTTCTGATTTAATCTCCTTTTTCTGTCCCATGTTCCTTTGGTAGAGATTGTTTCAATCTGCTCCATTTCTAGGTGGAATCGGTCAGCGAATTTTTGAAAACCTACATTTCCATTTTGGTGCTTACAACTTATTTATTTATTAGGCCACACTGGGTTGTATTTTGTTTTTAAGCTAAGTCAGAAATAGTGGAGTTTAAAAGATCAAAACATCCTTGATATAAGGATCCCGTCACGAGATATAAATATACTTGATATCAGACTCTGGAGTGTTATAAGGACATTTGTTACATTTTTTTTTTTAATGTATTAGTTAAATTTTCTCTAGCCTCCTGTTTACTTTTCAATGTAAGCCCTAGTTTTGAAATCCTGTTGGGCCGCCTAACTGAATGAGCTGGGGCCAGTCATTTACTCCTTCATAGCTTGTTTTTCTATCTGTAAAGGGAGGATAATGCTATCTACCCCGCCTATCATCTCATAGGAAATCTGTAAGGCTCAAATGGGATGATGCATGCAAAAGGAGTTGAGAAAACAGGGAGGGACTCATAGAATTTTTGCATCATCAATTCACCACAACAAAAGTGATTACTGATTTTATTGAAAATTGTCATGACCTCTCTTTGCCCATTCCCCAGATAATCTGTGCAATGGGCAGCTTTAAAATTTAAGTAGAGAAGTGACGAGAGTTTGAGCCAGCTATATCAGCTTTCAAGAGGTGACTGGTAAATTTTCAGGAATTTTGTCCGTCACTTGTTAATCACAGCCAATACTAAAAACTAAACTATTTACAAACTTACAATTAAATATTCTAAAAATGAAGGTAATAATTGCTCAAAACCTCACTTCATAATTATTTTATAACATTTTACTGGTATCTATGATTTAAAGTTATCTCCATCTGTTCTTTATAATGCGTGTATTATATAGTGATATGATACAGCCTATCTCTTCCAACTCTGCACTCAGAAATGTTATTTTGGTAGTTTGAAATCAACTGGTGGAGTATTTACAGAATTGGAAAACTACAAATCAGAGCTTGATTTCTTTTGTTGATTGTCTAAACTTAAGAAAGTGATAGAAGAAATATTAGTAACGAAGGTTAAACTTAAAGCTGTTAGTTTATGAATAAACTAATGCAAAAATTTGAGGAAATATTTTTCTCGTCGTTGAAAACTATTATCCGATCAGCAAAGAAGTTGCTCACATCACTGACGAACGAACGTCTTCCTAATATATATCTTTGTTGTTTCACTTTCATCTTGCTTGTTAATGTAAAAAAACATCAACCAACATTCATGTTTGAACTTCAGTGGCATGAGCAACTTCTTTGCTGAACTGGAATTTTTTCTCCCTGAAATGAATTTTCTTTTTTTCTGAACTGAATTTTAATAAAATATTTATTCATAGTCTGCTTTTGCCAAATATGGTTGCATTCCAACTGTACGTTGACAATGGCCATGAGTTTGCTGAAACCATTCTGTGAAAATCAGTTGGCTGTACAGAATTTCCTATAGTTACTTTTTTTATAAATTGTGTGCTACACATCTTTTATATCAGCAAAATGTGTAATAGACACATGGATACTCCCTCCCCTCCTTCCCTGGATAGCAGTGGTCAAACATTTATCAACACACTAATGGACATAACTTAATTTACTATTTGAAAAGATCACTCCACCTGTAATGTGAAGCCGGGGTGGT